CATGTCTGTTTGCATGGGGGAACGTGCGTGCCCATTGGCGAACACATGAATTTCGCGAAATGTGTGAATTGCAGTGGGAGAAGAGGTGGACTTCACTGTGAGGAAGAGTTGAATGCTTGCGAATATGAAGAATCTCAACTGGGACATCCGCCTTGTACGAATGGGGGCCACTGTGTTGTCAGCCCATTTAACGAGACACAATTTACTTGCCTATGCGCTCCCGGTTGGCGTGGTGCGCATTGTGAGATACCCTTCAATGTATGATCATTCTACTGATTTACTCTTAGTAGCATACAATGGTCTAATGCTTAATAATTTAAAAGTGAAGGACTGATAGCTTTTTAATTAAAATTTATATAAGGATCTAATTTTAAGAATTTGATTGCCGTTATCAACAATACTTATTTGCACATATTTCTTGACATGATTCTATTCAGCCAATTGCATGCTTCAAAGAGTGGTGATTCTATACTGCTAATCATACTGTTATTATTCCAGGGCACGCGAAGAGGGGATGCTTGTGATTTGGAAACATTCAGACTTGGTCATTCACCCTGTGCAAATGGTGGTCACTGTGTTGCCGACACTTCCAATGAAACAACATTTTCCTGCCTCTGTGCTCAGGGTTGGCAAGGCCCCACATGTGAGGTTTCCTCTTTCAAGGTAATTGCATTTCCATTATTTGCCGATTGTGTGTCTTGAGTAGTTCGGATTTTTAAATGACAAGTAACTTCAACTGTGAATACGAATGTGAATGTTGAGCGTGTCTGTTTAAGAGGAAGTAATACGGTTGTTTCAATAGAATCGGGAATCAATTCAACACCAACAGAGACTCATACTTTATGAAGAACATCCAGACACGTAGATAAATGAGGAAAGTCGATGTATAGGAGTTTGTACTTCTGAAGCCAAGAGATATGGATATATTATTCTCTATTTAAGCTGCAACTTGAAAGTAGGATTTTTCGTTCCACAACTACCAAATGCAGTCACTCTTTGATTATCAATTTATCAGTTAAATTCGAATTTGACTTCACCTTTAGGTTTCAGCCGTAGTGGTGGTTCTCTCAGTGCTCCTTCTGTTTCTGACGATCGGTTGCATTATGGGGGTTGTTTGCTACCTTCGAATTTTCACCGTACCTAAAATGAGGTATGACCTTGAATTGCCAGTATTCGAAACACTGCCGACATATTCACTTATCCTTGTTTTTGCCTGCATGCGTTTGCATGCACGTTCAGACGTGTTGACACAAATCAAAACGGAGTTGAACTGGTGGAGGTGAATGGAAGTATGTTTTCGGCGGTGAACAATCTTTATCGGCTGTCTCCAAGAAAAATAATTTCGTCATCATCCTCATGTACAGCTACGGGGTCACAGAGGGGCGTCGAAAGCTTGGTAAATCTCACACGGCCATCTTCGAAGCCAAACGAAGGCAACGACGAGTATGAATACGATTCAATTGTTGAGCCTTTGAAGTGTTCTTCTACAAAAGAAGTCCCGGAAATTGCAGAGGAAAAGGATAACTATGAACCTATTAATTGTAAGTACGATGGTGCACTGAAATCCGGTGAGGCCATGTGTGCAGTTAATAATGAATATGATGAGGATGCTGAGGATGATGGTCACTTGGATATGACCTTGAAACAACCGCTGTCATCAGCTCAACTATCAGGACCAGATGGAGACGACTATGAATTCCTATGCGAAAACGTATCAGTATAAAATCGAGATTTCTAGTTTAAACCCTGACTCATTTTGTAACCGTTTGTCTTCTATCATTCCACGACATGGCTGTAAACTCTATATTTGTATTGTTGGAATTTTGTTGTTGTGGGTGCGTTTGAACAACATGTGAACGTACTATTGGACGTGAATATTTTATACAGATGGAAATGTTTGAGTGTGCGAATATTTGCTCAAAATAAAGGGCCAGACAATAAATTGTGGATAAAAAAGAAAATGCAATTGAAAATAAAAGTCAATTTGTGTACTCTGGTGGTCTACTTTGCGTGGAGTTTGGTAGATGAACTCACAAGTGTTTTTTATGCATGCAATCTGTAGAATTGGAAGTTGTAGATTTGACCTCAGCCTTTTGACAGTTCATTATCCAATTGATAGGAAACAGTGCGAAGTCACTTATTAGCAATTGATGACAAACTTCAAATGAACAGTAATTGAATCTGTTAAGGATCAAATTTGGTGAAATACGCAAAATGTTATCGTGTGAACTAGCTCTAAGATCAATTGGGAGTCGATGTTGTGGCTGAAAAAAATCGAGTTGAAACCATTCCCTCTCTTTTTGACATTGGTGAATTTAATTTAAAAAGTTATAGGAGTGTGTAGCAGCTAACTGTACATTGTGTTAAGCTATAACCATCGAAATCTGGGATATCCAAAGCCTTCACCACTAATCAATGGCTTGCTTAGTAGCAATAATCAACACCTTTAAGATAGTCCTGGTTTGTGGACTGCTTATAAGGCCATGGCCTCAGGTTATCTATTAACCAGACACTGATTGCGCAACAAATTCCTTTGAGACAATGAATAGCCTATCCTCTCCCTAAGTGTATTTAATAAATAAAATAATTTAATTAATTGCAATCTTCACAATAATGAACCATACTAAATAGACCATTCGTAATCTCTCTGGTGGCTTTCTGTAATAGTCGGTAATATGAAACAATGACGATATTGGACAGTCAAGAACACGTATCTCATCGCCCAAGCTTACACTAAACGTGGGAAAACAAACAACTAGTGCAGCCCCATTGTTTTTAAAAAGGAGTTTTTTAGTTAATTGCAATTTTCACAATTATTTATTTATAACAAATGGCAGGCGTCTTGATGTTTATTATAAGCCCATTAGTAGCCTTCAGGCTTCACAGAGGGGATGGAAAATCAAAGTGAAAATAGTCGAGAGGGGAAAGGGAACAGTAGAATGTTGCAAAGATGTAAAAGAGGCAGACACAAAGGTCGTGAGTAGGGGAAGGCGAGTACTGTAGAATTGATGGAATATGACATGCAGTGAGGTGATGGTAGTTTGGAATCAGAAGTCAACTGCCAGTTAATAGACTTTTTTGCCGTATGAGTATACGTTGCCCAGGGTGCACCACGGACTCTTTTGCCGTGTATACGTTGCCCAGGGTGCACCAGTTTGTTTGCCGTATGAGTATACGTTGCCCAGGGTGCACCACGTGATAGACTTACTTGCCGTATGAGTACACGTTGCCCAGGGTGCACCACGTGGTGCCTTATGAGTATACGTTGCCCAGGGTGCACCACGTGGAGCCGTATGAGTAAACGTTGCCCAGGGTGCACCACGTGGAGCCGTATGAGTATACGTTGCCCAGGGTGCACCACGTGCCGTTTGAGTATACGTTGTCCAGGGTGCACCACCTGGAGGTAAGTCTATCGTGAGTATACGTTGCCCAGGGTGCACCACGTGGAGGTGTATGAGTATACATTGCCCAGGGTGCACCACGTGGAGGTAGCCGAATGAGAATACGTTGCCCAGGGTGCACCACGTGGAGGTAAGGTGTGAGTGTACGTTGCCCAGGGTGCACCACGGACTCTTTTGCCGTGTATACGTTGCCCAGGGTGCACCAGTTTGTTTGCCGTATGAGTATACGTTGCCCAGGGTGCACCACGTGATAGACTTACTTGCCGTATGAGTACACGTTGCCCAGGGTGCACCACGTGGTGCCTTATGAGTATACGTTGCCCAGGGTGCACCACGTGGAGCCGTATGAGTAAACGTTGCCCAGGGTGCACCACGTGGAGAGGTAAGTCTATCGCACGCCCCATCTACACAATTATAAACCATACTAAATAGACCATTCGTAATCTCTCTGGTGGCTTTCTGTAATAGTCGGTAATATGAAACAATGACGATATTGGACAGTCAAGAACACGTATCTCATCGTCCAAGCATAAACTAAACGTGGGTAAACAAACAACTAGTGCAGCCCATTGCTTTTAAAACGGAAATTTTTAGTTAAGTGACAGATTAAGAAGGCAATGCCAGAAAAATCAATGAGGAAACGAAATCTGGGATCACAGCAACGATAACGCATTATTGCGATAAGGATGTGATTACACCATAACATGAAGATAATTGGTTAGTCTCCTCAATTTCTCACGAATT